TATCTTGACACAATTGCTGTTTTCAGTGAAAAATAAGCAACTATCTAAACCACCAAACAGACCATGAGATAAAATATCCTCTCATAAAGATCAGTTCTTTTGTTAATTCTACTGCTAAAGTAGTTGATTTGTCAACCATATTAATGTGTTGACTACCAGAGGTCAATTACACAATCTGACTTTAAATGCCAACTTTATAAGAGCCAACTTAGGCAATAAAATTTTGTTCAAGTGCTTCGTTTATGTGTTATATTTTCAATAATTTTTTCTCATAAAAAGTTTGTGTCTATTTGCCAGTATGCTTTTTAATTCCTGCCTAAGACACTAGGTAATAGTTATTTGTATAAAAAACTTGTCGTTGTAGCCTTGATGGCAAGACCATGAAAACGAGTTAACTCATGGTTGGCATCACAATAAAAACTGCTAACTACAAGATATCTAATGGTTGGCAGTCAATGTGTTAGGAATTTTTCTTCTTCTATGTGTCATCTCCCTTCAGGACATTATGGATCTCCACAATTTCCTGTACTTTGTAGTTCTTAATAAAATTTGTCTTTTTGTTATCTTTCTGCTATCTATTTAGTCAGGCTCGCTAGGTAGGTTGTGCATTGTTTACCTCTGTCCCTCTTGCCTTCAATATGTCCTTTAAGTAGCAAATTTTCCAAGTCCTCTTTTCTTTTTATGTACCTTAGAAATTCCAGTCTTTTCCTGATGATAAGTATAAGTGTGCTTTTTGCATCCATTTTCTCAAAACCTTTGTCATTGCTCACATGTTTGTTCCATGGTATTCTCAGCATTCTTCTGCAGAACCACATTTCTGTTGCTTTAAGTCTCTTCTTCATCAGCTATTGACAACAATGAAGTTTAGTACTTTTTGTGTATTCATCCTAGACACTGATGTTAGGTATCTTCTCTGACACTACACCTCTTGATTATCCAAAATAATCCTGTTGATTACTACCTGTTCCTTGTTCTTGCGTTGCCATTTTCTTCTGCTTTTAATAAAATTATATGGCAGATTTGAGATTATTCTTTTAACTTCATTATCACTCCAGTCTTAGAATTAAATGATGGTGTCCATTTTAAGAATTTTACATGAAATTGTAGTTTTTGTGAAGAAAAAGTTTACAAATCAATATAAATTAAGATTTGGTAAAATTAATAACTTAGAGTCAAATTATAGTGGACACATTATTAAAATACATTCTATTAATTAATCAGCTTCAGACAAAATAAAAGTCTCTTTTTATTGAAAATTATTAATAAAACACAATATCTTTACTGAGAGAATACCAGCATAAAATTGAATTGTAATTTACAGAGAAAGACAAAATTTTCACAGCATTTAAAACATATATCAGTTTATTAATCTGTACATTTTCAGGTTTTAAGCATGTATAGTTATTATTAGAAACTTTATACTCTTCAAGTAACACACATTCAAATAAAGCTGAGCATTTTTCTGTTAAATACTTGCATGTATTCATATATTTACTCCTACCTCTGCATGCCAGATATAAGTAAAAGTACATTGTATCAAGTAGTCAGTTTGAGTAGCAGTTTTCATGATAATTGGAGTAACAGTCCAAGTCAAAGTAGTAAGGAGAATCATTAAGAAATCTTTCTGTGTCTAGTCTATTTCCTGTTATATGTCTACATAAAAAGAAATTGGACTAAAAAAAAAAAAAAAAAACTTTTAAAAAACCTCAACAACTTATGGAACATCAAATTTTCAGAATTTATATTTTGCCTGTATTTTTCTTTTCCTTTCCTTTTCCTTTGTGGATAAGTTGAAAATTTTTCTTCTTCTTTATGTGCCATGTCCCCTCAGGTGTGTAAGCAATCATGGCTGTCCACAATTTCCTATCCCTTGCAGCTCTTAATAAATTTTTGTCTTTCTGTTATTTCTCCTAAACCCTGTTCTGCCATCCATTTGCTGAAGCTCACTAAGTATGTTATGCATTATATGTTTTCATATGTTTCTCTTGCCTTCAATCTGCTCTGTGAGTATCAGATTTTCCAATCCCTCTTTCCTCATTATGTGCCCTAGAAACTTCAACTGTTTCTTCCTGATGTTAAATATAAGTTTCCTTTTTGTTTCCATTTTCTCTAAAACTTTGTCATTGCTCACATATTCACCTAACGAGGGAGAATTAAACTTAAACAAAAATAGGCACAGGGGCCAATAAGCATACATACCATAGCTAAGTTAATGGAAAAAGGAAACTAAAAATTCAAAAAACCAAACCTCAGCTAACCTAATTTTGGGATAGGTTGCCCATGTTCAAGGCAGGAAAAGCAATATCCTGATGCCTAACCGGCATCAAAGTGCCACTCCAGGTCAGCCCCTTTCACACAACACAAACGCGCAAGATTCACCTACCTTTTGCCGAATTCTGATGAAGTGAGCTGCCACCTTTCCATCCTAATCTTAACCTTAAGCTGATGCTTAAAGTATAAGAATAGTTGGGAAGAAATGAACTTCTTGCATTCATAGAATCCTTTCTGACATGTCATCCAAATCACAACTCTCATAACACCTAGCAAGCGTAAGAACACATAATGTTCAGCCTTCGTCAACAGTGGCACTACATTGCTACAAACAGAAGAGGCCTCAAGGACAAAGAACTTTCCAGGTAGCATGCAAACCATGAGGCCTTCAACAAACCTACACAATGACACTACCACCCTGCAATGAAAGGTGTGACTAATGGTCTTGACCTCCCCATCACAGTGTCGACAGTTTGGATATTTCTCCAAGCCCACTGTGCAAAGTTTCTTGGCAACACAGAAGGCCCCACGCATCATCAGCCAGGTGAGTGATGCCTCATTGTTATTGAGACATTTCAACCTGTGTGCCCGAGGCCATATCGAGCGAGCCTCCTGCTTTGTAAGACTGAGCTCGTCAATCAGTTCATCACAAACCCCCTAACTAACACTTTATTCAACTGAGAATACAAGGTTTGCATATAGTGTCCTTTTATAGTCCCAGTAAACAGAAATAGCTCTTTCAAAGATGTGAGTAACAAAACAAGGGGAGACCACTCTTGATTATTTATAACATATGGATCAGAATCTAACAAAATGACCACATAAAGAATAAGCAAAGTGTATACAGTATTTCTCATATGTTTTTATACATACATTTAATGATTGTGAAGATAATTTAGTAAGAAAATACGAGAACTGTCTGGGGGTTTTCTTACCTCAAATTTTTGTTAAGTGCTAAAAAAATAAAAGTAATGTTACTATTATGTCCTGAAAAAGGAAAAGGAAATGAAAGTTTTGTTGATGCATGTGTTTACGACCTGTTCATGTGAACTGCTTGCCTGATAGTGAAAATGTTATGCATTTCAGTGTAAAGGAGAAAATTGTGGTTGATTCTCATTTGTTTAGAATGAGTAAATTAATGATAATTATAACTGTTATAATTATTTCATTATAATTATTTTTGAAACTATAATAATTTTTATTTATTTACTTTTTTTATGGACAGAACACCTTATTTGACTTTGAATGGTCCAATAATTGTTTAATTGACAAATCAAATCCATATGGCACTGTTACCTCCTTGCTGCTTTCTTTTAGTCACATACATCTCTGCATCAGATAAAATCCATTCTTTAGCCTATCCATTAGGTCTATCAAGTATCAATGGAGATTTCACTGTGAAAATTACTTCAGAAAAGTTAATTTTCATGTAATTCTTGGCCCAATTTTTGATATTTTAAAATATTTGCTTTACTGATAGAAGATTGGTTGGAGATTTGACAAATCCCAGTTTCCAAAGTATTCTATATCTTTTGTTCCTTTTGGTTTCCATAATTCCAGTTTGTTCAAGCTGAGCCCTTATTAAAAGTGGTTGCTTTGCTATAATTCATTTTACTTTACATTCTTTTTGAGAAGAGAAATCCTTAAAGCCTTTACCTTTGACTCTAGTCCTCAAGTCATATTTTCAACAGATTTCTTTATCATTCAGTGATCTCTGTAAATCTCCTTTGATCTCTCCAAAATGGAAATTCTCTCATTCAATAATTTTGTTATTTCTTGTGTTTTAGTATTTGTTAAATTCTTTACATTAACTAAAGTTTTCCAAAAAAAAGTAAATAAAAAAATAAAATAAAATTATTTATTACGTTTCAGAAGCCTTAAACTAATACTATTTTAATCTGTATAATAAGTTCTAACAGTCATTTTTGTAAATGACAGATATCACATATAATAGCCATTAAAAGTGGCTAGAAATTTACTTAGAGATTTTATCACAGGTGAAATTGGACTAGTTTAAATTTGACAAAGATTAATACAGACCTTTTTGTGTTATTGAATTTTATGTGATTTGCATAATAGTTTCAGACATATTGTAGTTGCCTCAGAGCAACTATTTTGAAATTAGTAAATTTCTAGAATCCTTTTGTGAAACTGGCTAATGCTTTTCCATTATAAAATATGTGTTGCTCTAAAAATGCAAAGTCATTTTATTATTATTTCTGCAATTGCTGTGACTATTATTTGAAAAATAATTGATTTGAGAGAATATTTTTCCTATGTATCATATAGAAAAATCTTTTGGTCAGATCTAGTCCTAGGACTGACCATTTATATATAATCTAAATGCTGGTATTCTTATAAATGATTCACAAAGTATTATTTTTTATTCTACCAGCCCTTTTAATTTAGTAAAGAGTTGTTTCTGTATTTTTCTGTCTATTTTCTGAATTAACAATAAACGTAATAAAAAAAATATATAGAATAATTCCTAATGGTCATTTATTAGTTTTTGTTTTGACATTTAAAATAATTTTTTTATTTAAAAAAATTTCATAACGTTTCTCTTGGGTATTAATAGGAACATATAATTGAAGCAATAAAAGTAATTCTTGCTATAAAAGTGTTCCTATCTGTGTTTTCGTAATGGTGTCATTTATATTGGTAAAATATATAAATTCTTCCTAGTTTCTTGAGAACTTATGATTGTGGATAAGTACGTTTAATATTTTATGCGTGTCTGTGCTTCCGTAGATTCGTTGCTTCCCCTGCTGCTACGGTTTGACACAAGCAGCAGCACTTGCAATAGTCTGGTGAGAGTAAGAAGGCACACCTCAGCGCTCCTCGCTCGAAATAGGCACCAGCAGTGAACAATTCCCCCAAAAATGGTGGAACCATAAAGGAAAAAAAAAAAAGGCCAAAAAAAAAAAAAAAAAAAAAAATTACAAGGGGGGTTAAAAACAAATATTTGTACCAATAGAACCAGTTTTCTGTCTCTTATATACACACACACATATTGCGATATGTGTGTATATATGGACAGTAACGGCAGGGACTAGGAAGAGAAATGGCAAGTAAGCAGAAGGCGTTACTCTTCTGCCATGTAGAGTTCTTTAGGTACAAGTGGTGCGCCAACATTTCGTGGAGAAGAGACAGAAGATAGTAGGAGCATTTTCCTTTTTTTTTTTCTTCAACCATTTTCCCCTCCTTTTTTATAACATTTTCTTCGACGGGATAAACCGTTGTTGAAGTTGGAAGCTCGCAAAAGGAGGGCGACAGTTGAAGCCTGTGCCCAGGCAGGAGGAGGATCAGAGTCGACTGACTTGAGGCAGGCAAAAGGTTGGAAAGAAGGGAGCCACCGTGCATCACCATCGAGGAATTCGGAAGGCTGTGGGCTCTTTCCGTGGCCCACTGATGGGGAACGGTGAGAGTACGGAGGCGGCCAGTCGACCGGAGCTGCGGGCCTCCTCCATGCCGATTCGACTGCCGATGCCCGACTCCACCGAGCTGGAACGGAGGTTTACCAAAGTTCTGGTAAGTAATGTCAGGGTCTCGCACAACGCAAAACACGCCTACCTATCAACGTCTTTGGATTTATTAAAATACCGATACAACAAAAAGCGGTCTGTTCTTTCGCTAAACAAAGCTCTTGATGAACCTTGCTTCTCCTTTAATCAATACTAATTTCTGTTTCTGTTAAGCGAATTCCTTTAATCCGTGAACAAACAAGTCGTTTGTCAAATAGTTGAAAGCAAGAGGAGAGTGAAGAAACAGAATCAACATAAAATATGGCGGACGCCCGCCCGCCCTGCTACTGCTTCTTGCTTGGCATTAACAAGAAATAATAATAAATATTATATTAATAATAATGACAATAATAAGAGTGGTCTCTTGGTGCTTATTTTTTGGTTGTCTTAATATTGAATCTTTATTTTTACTCTTTTTATGATTCCTACATGTGATGAGCTCCAGTTATTGCTTCGTTTCCTACAAAATCTCTTTCGTTTCCTCGTCTCGAAATTACACCAAGTGATGCAAAAAAAAAAAAAGAAATTTGCTGCTTATCGACCTCGTTTTGTTTAACACACACGGTCACCCGAATCGTTATTAATCTACACAGTTCTTCACTTAAATTGTCCCTAAGCATTCATGTTGCCGAAAAATCAGCTTGAGAAGTTTTTAAAGCAGTAAATAAACCATGTAAATTGTAAAATGTTTATTCATTGTTTATGTATGAAAAAAAAAAGTAGACATCCTTTTTAAACGCAATACTAAATGAAATTGAAACTACTCTCCTTAAAACTAGTTTCATGACTGAATCATAAAAAAGAAATACGCATCAAATTAAAATTCGTCTAAAAACAGTTTTAATAAACATATGCCGTTCTTCCTAACACGTTTTAATGTTCAATTAACTTTGTTTCGTTTGTGTAGCCATGCATGCATGTTGAATAATAATATCAAATGACAAGCATGTCGTGGTGGGCATATGTTTATTTATTAATATTTTTAAATCGTTGTTGTATATCGAAATTCCTGACTTGAAAATAATTGCTATTCGCAGTCAGGACAATTTTCGTGAGATGTACATCTCTACACATCGACATACTACGCACAATATCCCAATTGTTGTGAATAATATCAAATCCTAGTAGTAGTAATTTTCTACCACTTGCTCGTCGATTCTCCATTATTTTCTCACGACTACCCTCATCCTCCGATTTCATCGATCAAACTGAAAATTTTGCTTGTCACGTTCACTTTTCTTTCATCTATTATTCAATCTTTTCACTGGTAGCTCTCGTATTTTCGTTAAAAAAAAGATTATTCCTAATAAATATTTTTTTTTTAACAATGCTATATTGCTACTTTCTCTCTCCTTGCTCCTGTAACATCGACGACCTCACCGCTGCTTCTCCCCCCCCCTGCCCTGCACATCCTCATCAGCTTTTCGCACGCACCTGGCTAGACTTCTCTTAACAAAACACATAAATACTAACATTTTTTTTTCTTACCGAAAACTTTAAAATTACAAAATTATTAATCACTTATTTTTTTTTTTTTTTTTAGTTGATGCTTTTTTTGTTGACCTACTGTATTTTGTTCACTCTGACGATTGATTGGCGAATGCATACTCTTCTTGTTTCTCTGTTCACTGCTAATCTGATAATTTTCGTCCTGCCATCTCGAATGATTTAGGAATAGCAGTCGTCAGTGGTTTTCCTTGACTCATACATCTGATCTGAATTATTTTCGTTTTTGTTGCATATTTTACACTTCATGGTCGTTAATTTAAAAATGCGGTAAACTGAAAATTATTGCTCTCCTTTTTTTTTATCATGATTCTCAAAAATGAAAGTGGCTTAGTTGATTAAAAAAAATTCTGCATCCAGCAGCAACAACAACATAGAAACGGAATTTATATTTGTATTTTTCATTTATTAACTTTTATCAACCTGAGGGAGGAAGGATTCAGACCTGTGTGATGCTGTTCTCTCTTCTACTTCACAATGGTTGTTTTAGTTATCGATCTGCCGCCGCCTTGTGATTTTAAAAGGAGTTGCATAGACTCGTGCCTGCCCCTCACCCCCTTTTTTATTTTGAAAGACTCAGCTCTCAGGAATTGGTGGAATCCATGCCAGTCCACTCACCGCATTCTTTTATTCGAAGAAGATGCGGCGGCATGCATGAGAGGAAGAATTGATGATGATGGTATACAATAATAGAAACCATTGTCTTCTATTTCTTGTTAACGTTGTACTTAAAATTCTCTTCTTTCTATGCCGGTAAGAAGAGAGATGTTTCCATCGAAGGAAACCTCAAAGACAATCAACAATCCATCTGACCCTGACATAGTAGTGATGATGCAGATATAACATTTTTACAGCTGTAGTAGTCGCAGCTGACTATTCTTTTTCTCAGCCCCAGATTTATTTTGATTCCTTTTAAATTGGAAAATCTTACACTAAAATGTAATTTAAAATTAAAATAAAAAGCAACCATTTTAAAAAATTGGCCATGATCTGTCTTGCTCTTATTTTTAAATTTATCATGCATTTTATTTTACATTATTGAAGCAAAATGGTCGCGTGATATGTTTTTTTTCTTAAAGAATTTCCCTACAACGTAAAATTTGTAAATTTTGTCTATTAATTCTTAATGTCTTATTGTCATGCTCTTTCTTTAAGTATTTCTCTTTGTTGATCTTTACAAAAAACGCCGTTGACTTCTTTTTTAGAATGAAGCGGATAAAAAGAAAATTTTTTTTAAATAAAACCACTTATTTTACAGCAGTTGAGTTTTGTTTTAGTTCTGGTCTAATTATTAAATTAACCATTTTAAATTTTAATATTGTTTAAAATAAAAACAAATGTATTGTAAACGAAACCTTTGTTAATAGTATCTTTTTAAAAATGATTTTGACGGCATGGGTGGAAATTACGAAACCTTGCAAAGATTGCATTTAATTTATGAGGTTTAACTTCTTTTTTTCAAAAGAAAAATCGTTGAATTGTTTCAAAAAATTATCAAAACATTTAAAATTTTTAATCATAAGCAATATTTTTCAATGAATTTATTTAAATCCTGTTGGGGAACCTGATCGTTACTATGGTTACCTCCTTACTGGATTGGATGTATATTTATCGGCAGGGTTTTTTTTTTTTTTTTCTTGCAAATTGAAATTTATTTTTTTAATCTTTATTTTTTTTCTTTTTTTTATACATTTTTGTTAGGGAAATATGTTGATTATTTGAACATGAACAATATGATAATTACAAGTTTTTTTGTTTTTTTTTTATTAAAACTTAAACGGAATTTATTTTTGTATTTTTAAAACTTAACGTTCCTCTCATTTTCTTTTAAAAATTTCAAATATCAATTTCCAAATTGATGAAAAAATTTTTTTATACTTATTGAAAGGGAGAAAATAATCCAATATGAGCAAAAAAAGTACAAAGAATTCTGGTTGCAGTTGATTGAAGAATTATTTTTAAGTCTGTTATTAGTGACTTACTTAAGTGTTAACGAACCTCCTCACTAATGTAGGATGTGACAATCTTTTTAGGTGGGGTATCCCTACGTGTACATATGGGCCAAAGGCAAAAATACCCCAGTCTCCTTGACCACTGTCATGCTGGCATCGATATTACATTGGATAGTGCTGATAGGTTGGAATTCCCGGGACCATGCATGCACCTTCTCCCATCTAAAATAAGGAGAACAGATACTACGCTTTAATCCTGGCCAGTAGTTTTTAACAGCTGTTAACATTTTATTTGTAATGGTTACTATGGTAACACAATGGAAGAATTTTTATTATTTATTTTCTTTTTGTCAGATGTGTGTTATTTAGTTAGGATATGGAAAACTCACCATGAAGGAGAAATAAATGGGAAAAAATAGTTTTACATTTTGGTATGAAAAATGCTTTAATCTTCCCAGATCCATAGCCTTTTTTTTTTTTATCACTATATGAAACCATAGGAAAGGCAATTTTAAAATGCACATTAGTTACAATGATTCTTTCTAGGCTGATTCTTTTAAATTTTCAACTAAACTTAAAATTTCGAAGTTAGCTCCTGTCTGAACTCTGAAACGTTTATTTTACAGTACATTTTGACTGTACTTATTTTTGAGCAAAATGATTTCAGAATATCTATACAAGAATATCAAATGCACATGAAATCTGAATGAATGATAAACAAAAATAAAAATACCAGAATTTCTTTTTTTTTTTTTTTTTTCTCTTCATATCTCATTCTCTGATGAAGCTTTAATAAAAGTGAAACATGTTATTGATAAACTGAAACGTTTCCTAATTTGTTTTTTATGTTCTCATTCTGTTGGGTTCCGACCCATATTTGATCTGTATTTGATCCCAATGCACAAGAAGACTATCACTTTGCATGAGGATCGATTGAAAGAAATTGTCAGGATCTGTAAAAACAAAAATGAATATTTCGAATGACTCAAACAAAATATATATTTACAATTAAATACATTGTTAGAAATTAGTATTTGTTCTTATTCCAATAAAAGAGAATGAATTCTGAACAGAACCACTGAATTAGTAGATTGTAACCTCAAATCACTTTCTTCAACAAAAACATAATTTAGCAGAAAGTCTTTTTAAAATTAATTTTAATAAAAAAAAAAATCTGTTTGTTTAAAAAATGATAGAAATTTAGAACCATTAGTTTTTGTGTGAAAAGTTTGTAAAATTTATCTTAAATTTAAATACATTTAATAGATTTTGTTTCAGTTTACAGTACACATTTTTTATTGTAACTGTTGCAATGAGATAAAATATTTGTTTCATTTCCACTGTTGTGTTGGAAATATGTTGCCACAATTATAATTCTGAAAAATATTTTAAATTTAAATCTTTCTAAATATTTTACCATTAGTTATTTATTTTTATCTAAATGCTATTTTCATCTACAAAATTCAGTTGAGTTCAGCTTATGAATGGATGTTTAATACTATATTTCAGTTTAAAAAAAATCAAATAAAAACAAACTGTCAGCAAAGTG